AGACTATCACTCACCCACACCAGATGGAAAACTCTACAGACTGTCGGTTCACAGGTATATATGTATATATAATATTATATATCGTCAAATAGATTTGTTGTCCTCTTCTCTCTCTCTGCCTACGGTTTACCGGGCAGTTCTGTTTGTGACGATATATATGTATTTGGTGCGAACTTCCACATATTTCTGGTAATCGTTCGACCTGTAATATTTTTTTGTGACGAGATTATTGTAACATGTCAAGTAGAGTACAACGTCGCCCCGGAAGTACGCTTCACTGCTGATTTTTATCCACATTTATATAAATATTATATAAATATATAAACCTAATGCATATTGTTGTGTGTAATAGAGAAGGATGAAATGCGTTGTTCTTTTTCAGAATGAATATATACCTATGCATACCCTCGAGGAAGAGCGGGGCCTCAGGAGGAGCCGACGGAGTCTGTGCGCATGTGTGACAGAGAGCGGGCGAGCACAGGGGAAGTGTGTGTGTGTGTGTGTGTGCAATACGCACACACGATAAAACACACACACACACACACACACACACACACACACACACACACACACACACACACACACAGAGAGAGAGAGAGAGAGAGAGAGAGAGAGAGAGAGAGAGAGAGAGAGAGAGGTGTTCCGTATGGATGTCGCCCGGTCTCTCACTGTATGTGTGAATGTATAATACTGTATTCCCTTATCTTGTCAGACACAGGCGACAACGGACGCTTACACCCATCCCCCTTCCCACACACAGGCGTTCATTCAAACACCCATACACACAGGAACATGCACGAATTCGCCCCAAGTCTCAGACGCGCCCTCACGCACACCTTTCATCCCGCCCTCTTCCCCCGAATAGAACGCACGGTCATTATACCTTTATTTGATGCAAGCACGCAGTAAAATAATTCGGCGGTTCGTCCCGCAAACGGACGCGAATGTGTTGTGAAATCTAATCATATCTCCGAACCCCCGAAATCAAATCTAATCATATCTAAAATTAAAAAAAAAAAAAAAAAAAAAAAATCATATCTCCGCATGCAAGCAAGCAGTAATTAGGGGGCTCGGAGATATGATTAGATTTCCGAGGTCTGTTTTATAACTTACATACAGATGTACATTTATGTGTGTATATATGTATATATGTATATATCGTCACAAACAGAACTGCCCGGTAAACCGTAGGCAGAGAGAGAGAAGAGGACAACAAACGAGGGGCTGTGACAAACTGTTTATGTATATATGTATATATGTTTTGATATCCTGGTTGGTTTTGTAACTCTTGTCCCGTTGTGTGGCCTGTGACGGAGGAGGGGGGGGGGGGTGCGTGCATGTGGGACTTGTCATCTAGGATTTGTTTATGTTTGTTTCCCCCTGATTTGTTATATTTGGCTGGTCCCTTCGTCTTTCTTTGCCTCTTTGCCTTTTGGCTGTGTGCAAGTGGGTCGATATGACACACGGGGGCGGGGGCAGCCGCCGCTGAACCTACATGCACATGGGCGGCCTTGTAGGCAAGAGGTTCGGAACAGGGGGAGTTGTAAGGAAGAAGATAAAAAAACGAATTCGTTTTTTCCTTGTTTTCTTTCTTTTTCTTTTTTTTTTTGCTTTTGCGCTCTGATATTCTTGTGACAATATATATATTTACATCTCTCTCTCTCTCTCTCTCTCTCTCTCTCTCTCTAGCCCCTCGTTTGTTGTCCTCTCTCTCTCTATTTATATAAATAATAATTATATATTTATATATAAATTTATATATATATTGTCACAGAACTATTCACTAAGACCACAAGCACGTGAAGTAGAAGGAGAAATAAGATGAGCAAAGAAAGGAAAATGAAAGGATAGACAGGCAAAGAGACAGACAAACCAGAATGACACGGAACAATGTCCTCTTATTCTTCGTTTCACTGTATCCTGAAGAAAGGATAAACATCGAAAACAAAAGCACATTGAAATCATTCAGTTTCTCAGTCTTCTTAATATAGATAGATATATAGTGGTTGGTGCTGACCTCAGGGTATCAGTTCTTGGGCAGTCGTTGATGCTTAACCACAGCCGGGGTTAAGGTGGATTATCACTTACAGTGTAATCAGTTAGGGGATTCTGCAGACTGTTGAGGGTTCAGCCTCCTGATGAGTCGGTGAAACTCCGACGAAACAGTTTGCCACAGCCCCTCGTTTGTTGTCCTCTTCTCCCTCCCTCTCTTCCTACGGTTTACCGGGCAGCTCTGTTTGAATATATATATATATGTTCTTAGAAGTTAGTGGACTGCTGGGGTCTGCTTTTTCTTGCTGATGTGAACTGTGCTGATAATCAGATGCAAGAAGTGCATAAGAACAATTAGTGAAGGGTCTGTTGATCTGATGCATCCATCGATGTTTTGTCTTTTTTGTTTTTTTCCCACTTTCCCCTTTTCTCCCTCTATCCCTTAGCGCACAGACACATAATAGATCGATCCATACGGATAAAAAAACTCCTCCACTGTTCTTCTTATCCATTTCTTATTGGCTTCCCGTTCTTCTTATCCATTTCTTATCGGCTTCTTTTTTTCTTTTTTCTTTTTTAACGAGGCGATAAGAACACTTTCCTTAAGTGGTTCCTTGTGTCAAAGGCTGCAATCTATTGGTGGGTGGGTGCACCTGGTCTGGAAACCGGCTCCAGCGTCCCATTCAGATGCAAACTCTTAATTTGGCCGATCTATTTTTGTAATAGATCATCCACTTGTTATCCACTTGTTATCCACTTCTTATTTACGTCTTCTCCGTTCCTTATCCACTTCTTATCCATTCGTTATCCACTTCTTATCCACTTGTCATCCACTTCTTATCCACTTCTTATCCACTTCTAATCCACTTCTTATCCACTTCTTATGCACTTGTCATCCACTTGTTATCCACTTGTTATCCACTTGTTATCCACTTCTTATCCACTTCCTATCCACTTCTTACGTCTGATTATCTGGCGATTTGTATGTAAGCAGAAGCGGATGAATTTTTGTAGTTGGGAGTCAGTAGACCGTCCTCATGGATGCTCATGGAGCATAGTGGATAGGTACTAAAAGCGGCCAAAACTGCTTATCGTACATCCGCATTCACATGTCTCAGTTATGAGCACTTTCCTCTATGCACATTTTGTCAAGGTGGCACACCTGGCGCTCCTCTGGGGGCTTTCCACAGACCTGCCTCTGGGCACCACCTTTTCTTCGACCGACTGTTATATTTTACATGCGGATTCTTCTTCTTCTTCAGATCTGGGAAAGCTTCAGAAAGCTTGAAAAGCAGTGTTGGTCGCTTCTTGGCACGATTCTCTTTGCAAACCGTGTCTTTCCGTCTAAACACAGCTATAATGACCGTATCGGGTGAAGAGGGTAGTACTATTCTATGTTACTCCAGATAGCCACTACGTTAGCCGCTTTGCCTCCATCTCGGTATCGTAATTAGGTAACTATTTCTATGGCGGAGGCCGCTGAGCTATGCAGTACAGGACCAGTCTGTACCCATCCGCGCCGTGCGGGCGGGGCAAAATGGAGAGATGCTAGCTTGCAGCCTGTCTGTGGCTAGGGGGGCCAGAATAGAGAGCACAGCAGCAGGACTAATTAACAACCCGGCAAGCTGGCCCTTCTACCTTCTTTGCCCAAATAGAACGCCCGAATAGAACGCCCGGTCATTACCTTTCAGTCTAGATACGGCTATAATGACCGTACGTTGTATTCGGGGGAAGAAGGTTGCCGCAGTGTTCTAGTCATTACTAAGCCACTCTAGGACTACTACCCAATGGCATATACTTGGCTAATCACTTCGCTCGCCTGCTTCTCGTCGTTCTCGATGCCTGACCGATGGAGCCAGTCTTCCTGGCAAATCTACCCAGTGTTTGGAAGAAGAGCGCCAGATGGCATCCCCGGTGCTTGAGCTCTCTACGGACTGCCCTCATCGGGAGGACAGCTGAAAGTGGATCACTTGCATGCTGCTGAGGCCTGTTGAGTTGCTGTAATTGCACCGGTTTTTTACGTCTTGTCAGAGTACGAGCTGTAGTCCTGGAAGCAACGAAATCTGAGGTCTTTGCCCCCATCGTGGTCCTGGTTCGTTCTTGAACTTGGGCGGACTCAGGAAGCAAATGGGGTTGGGCAGCACCTTCACCCTGGTACCAATGAGATCCCTTTAGTTTGAGCCATCGTCAGTTCGCGCCAGTATAAGTAGCAGCTTCTCTCCATATGCTCATGTAAACCTCTCCTAGATGTGGATTGCGGCAGTGACACTTGCAGGGTTGGGTCGGTCACATGCGATGCCCAATGTGACATCATCCACTAGCTGGACCCCTT